ATTGTGTTTGGTGTAGCCGTGGCTTGGGGACGGAATTTCTTTTGGGGTAGGATGGCAGCACTACCAGGTGTGGTCCCTCCTGCATTTCACCAGCACTCCTCCAAGGACTCAGCCAAGTCTCACAAAATACAGCTCCTTCCCCAAAAAATCAGTGTAAGATGTTCCCACTCCTTCACACTGATCGACTGTGGTGGTTCTGGTTTTGGAAATGCTCATTTTAGGTCCTTCCCAGGGCAGTAAAGTGATGCCAAGTCTCCCTCAAAGGCTGAACATTGGGCCGGCAGCACTCCATACACTGTTCGCAGGCTGCCTGCCGCTTGCCAACGTACCGAAGCCGATGAGGCCGAGCGTCTCCCCCCTGATGCGAGCGGCACCGGAGGCCACCTCCCGGATCTGTTCCACGCTCTGCACCCGCGTGCCTTCCCGCAGCGCCTGGTAGAGCCACGTGTTTCGCCGGTAAAGGTTGAGGACATGGCAGACGGTGGAGTCGGCCGTCTCCTCCACGGCGGCCGAGGGGATGTTGCAGACGGCAATCCCTGCAGAGGCAACACCACAAAGCACAACTGTGGCTCAGGGGGGGCAGCCCCAGCTGCCCACCCCACAGCAAAGCAAAAGGGCTCCTGGCCCTTCAGCCTCACATCTCCCAGCCAGCCCATCTTTTTTTTAAGCATTTGGAGTAATGTTTTCCAAGGATGTGCATGGTTTAGGTACAGCAGCCTGAAATCTGTGCAAAACCCACCATCCCCTATACCCTAGTGTCTCTCTGGAGTGAAGGACAAGTGCAGGTAGCTACACAGGAGTAATTCCAGCAGCAAAGTTCTGTTTTGCAATAGAAAGTCTTATTCTTGTTTAGTTTAATCTACCTTCACAGTAACTTAAATCGTACTGGCAGAAGTCACTCCTTTCTTGCAATAACCGTTAAATTATTTAGGGACCAATAATTTGGTGTACTCTAGCAGGATGGTGCACCAGGTCGACGTGGCAGGGCCAGCTTCCCCTTCCATCAACAAGCACAACAATCGACTCAAAACACCCCACAGCTAAGGCTTGGGGTGACCACCACCACCATGGCATATGTGTGCCATCAGCGCAGCCTCCGCCTGCCACAAACACCCACCCACATTCCTGCAGGAGGAACCAATCACTCCTGCCACAAAATTTGCAGGCTTTCCCAAAATTTGGGAAGCGCAGGGGGCACGACCATGCTGGAGCAGCTCTCCCACCCCAGCACCACCACCGCACACCCACCTGCCCTGGCACGGCTCTTGATAACAGACCTTTTGTTCCTTTGCCACAAAAGATTTATTTTAAACTGCCGCATCCCCACTCAGAGCTGGAAGTACTAAGTTCATGGAAAATGCCTCCCCGATCACTGCCCTGTCCAGGCTCTGGCTCAGTAACGTGTGTAAGGGTGTGCTTAATCTCACATCTATTCAGCCGAGCAGTTAAACAGATGCTTATATCACACCAGATTCAATGCGATTTAAACACACATTTAAAGATGGATGTGTATTTAAGTGCTTTGTGGGACTGGGGAATTTGATTAGAAATCATGAAAAGGTAGGAGATGAAGACAGAGTAAGATATTCAAAAAATCCACTGTGAGGGGCACTGATTCAAAATCAAAAGTCTGTTTCCCATCCCCCTAGCAATATCCTTGCTCCCAGGAGCTGCTTTTCTGTTTTTAAAACTCTTTTCCACCCTGTGGGTATTTGAAAGACCTACAGAAACTGTGAGAAAAATGGACTGACTCTACAGGGTGAAAAAACCCACCACCAACTAACCCCTGAAAACAGTGTCTGCCTTCTGTCTCTTTCAGGTGACAGGGACACAATGCTCTGATCCCCACAGGTCCCAAGAAGACCACCTGGTTTAAGTACCAGGCAACTGCTCCTGCCCATTTGTAGGCAGAGGCCGTGGCTGCTTGTGGGGGGAGAGAAGAGACAAGAAGGCTGGAGTGCAATGGGCAGCCCCGGCAGCACTCCCCATCAGCCGGCAGCTCTGCTGAGGGTCCCCATCACCAGCCCTGCCGGCACTCATCCCTTTTCTGATGGACCACTTGCTCATAGAGCTGGATTACACCGGGCTGCCTTTCCCAGGAGCTTCTTATTCTGTTATTTACTCTTGTAGCCCCAGGAGCAGGAGCTGCCAGCACCAGGGGTTAATACCCACGGTGGATGGTTCAACACCAGCATCTTGTTTTGGGGATGTCTTCTAGTGGGTCAAAACTGGCCCTGCTGGCCCAGGCAGCCTGGCTGGCAAGGCGCAGCCGGCCACTAGCGCGTGGCCAGGCACCGTGTTTAGACACTGGTCATTTATTGACTGCACAGTTTAAAAACTACCTTATGGAAAGCAATACCAATTAAACTTTACGCTACATTTGTGGGTAGTCATTACATTTTCTACTTGAAACCACATCATTTGGCCACCCAATTTGCCAAGTATAAAAAGAAGGATTATACTGCAGTATCCCATTACTTTATTCGTTATATTTTTCCTTTCTTGATGTTCAAAGCCTCAGAACATTGTTATAATGGATAATAACAATAAGAGTTAAAAACATGAAGAAACCATTACATTGAGAAGACACTGTTCTCCTCTTGGAAAAAAATAATTCACTATATTGAGAATTGCTTTTTTAGGAATGACTATTTGAAACTCTCTTATCGCAATTATCTTTGTAAAATGGCTCACGTGAAATGGCTGTTATTCTTCACTTCCCCAGAGATAAGCTTTAATACAAGATATCCTAAACACTATTGTAGTGCTGCTTGATAGACTGAATCTTGGGATCAAATGATCAAAAAGGGTTGTAAGTCAGCTGCTAAAATCATGGATACAGTTAAGCTCTGGCAGCTGGGGGTGTGCAGCCAAAGGTCTCTGACCATCCAAACCAGTACGGAGATCAGGTGGCCCCAGCACCATCTGACAGCCATGCAACACAGCCTGCATGCACCTCCTGAACCCAGCCGTGCAGAAAAATCCCATAGCTGGACGTAGGGGCTCCTTTCTTACAATGTGACACTCTGTATTTTGGCACTGCATGTAACATATACCCACACTAAATGTCTTTTTCAAGTTCTTGAGGCACCTTTCATGAGATGGCAAAGGAGCAGCAGCAACGCAATGCACAATTCCTGCTCCACTGTCTGACACACCACCTTCCCAGCAGTGTGGGCTTCAGTCCGAGAACCAGATCAGATCAAGAGACTAATCTTGCTTGACAAAATACAATAAAACACCCTTCCTCCAATTTTTCTAAAGCTAAATCAACTCTTGTGCCAGGAACAGAACAGCCATACAAACATCCGTCGGTACAAGGGGGCACCTGGAACTAGGGACAGCATAGGAATGAGGGACTTGGGGCAGTTTTAACACAGTATGAGCCTAAAAGCTACCTTCTAAAACTGCACCATTGTGTTTACTTCGTGCTCAAGTTTTCTTGTCATAATATTCTCTACAGGCAAAAACTCTAAACTGCACCTGTAATTTTAGGGGCTGACTCGATCCCCTTTGGGAGGTCCTGCCTGCAGCTCTGCTTTGCCAGCACGCCCCCATGGGAAGCAGCAGGTAGTTGTGCTGATTTTAAAGACTCAGAAGGATATGGGAGGGAATCAGGGTACAGAGCTGAGACCTACCAAGCTCCCCCGCAGCTTTAATGTCAATGTTGTCGTAGCCACTGCCTATTCGAACAATGACGCGTAAGGCCTTGAACTTCTCTAGATCTTCTCGAGTCAGCGTGATGGTGTGGTACATCATCGCCCCAACAGCTTCGTTTAATACCTGGAACAGAACAGAGATGTCAGGAGCCACCAGAACACCTGGAGGGGACACCTGCAGCTCCTGAATCAGGAATATTACACAGTAAATTGTACATTTTTACCGCTGACCTACTGTCCGGCCCAGGCACGGTGCAAGCCGCCACTTCCAGGTGATACCAAAACCATCAGGGGTGTGACCCACCGACATCAAGGCCAATCCCTATGGGAACAGACTGGATGGATATCTGAAAATTATGATGTTACATCTGGACATCTGGATACATCTGGAGACAAGGCAGAGGAAAACTGAGCCAGTCGCTCACCTGGACCCTTTTCCAGGTGGTTATCTGCTAATCCTTCTGTTACCAACCAGCAGTAATCCTGCTTTCAAAAAGGAATTGGGTTTTAACAGCAGTATCTATTGTTTTTGAACACAACTGTGTGTCACTCATAACTTCTCGATGTTCTTTTGTATGTTGGATGTACAAATATCTGTCACACTCTTCACATTAACCCTTCCCGTATGCTTTCAAGAGTACCTAAAAAGATTTGTGAGGCTGTACAGTCGTGTAAGGCTGTATTCCATCCCCCTCAATGGAGATTCAAACCTTCACCAGTGCTCACCATAAGCTACCTTGGTGCCCTGGAGACCCAAAACTGATCCAAATTCTCCAAGATTGGCTCACCTATCATCTATCAATGATGTCACTCAGAAAATCTCTGTCCTCCTATCCTGGGCTGCACCCAAAGGAGCGTGGCCAGCAGGGCGAGGGAGGGGATTCTGCCCCTCTACTCCACTCTGGTGAGACCCCACCTGCAGTGCTGTGTCCAGCTCTGGAGCCCTCAGCACAGGAGAGACACGGACCTGTTGGAGCAGGTCCAGAGGAGGCCACAGCAATGCTCCAAGGGCTGGAACAGCTCTGCTGGGAGGACAGGCTGGGAGAGCTGGGGTTGCTCAGGCTGGAGAAGAGAAGGCTCCGGGAACACCTTATTGCAGCCTGCCAGGACTTGAATGGGGCTTAGAAGAAAGATGAGGACAGACTGTTTAGCAGGACCTGTAGAGATAGGATAAGGGGTAATGGTTTTAAACTAAAGGAGGGCAGATTCAGACTAGGTATAAAGAAGAAATTTTTAACCATGACGGTGGTGAAACCCTGGCCCAGGTTGCCCAGAAAGGTGGGAGATGCCCCATCCCTGGAACCATCCCAGGTCAGGTTGGACAGGGCTCGGATCAACCTGCTCTAATTGAAGGTGTCCCTGCTCATTGCAGTGGGGTTGGACTAGATGGCCTTTGAAGGTCCCTTCCAAACCAAAGATTCTATGATTCTATAACTCCCCTGCATGTGATACATGAAGCACTGAAAAGATCAGCACTGATGCTATTTGTAGTTCTCTTTCCCAGATCCTGGAAGTGATTTCTGATGACTTCAGACCTCATTTGAGTTATCTAAATGTGCAAAAAGAATAATTTTAAAAGAAGTATTTACAAGTAGTTAATCTTCCAAGCAAAACCACCCATCCATACTGCATGGATCTATCTGCATGCTGCTCAAACCTCACCCGCTCACTGCTGGGGAGAAATGAACTGCCGAGGTACAGCCAGCACCCATCAGCTGCAGCATGGGATGGTGTTAGGAAAGCCGGAGCAAATGCGCCACACCCCAGGGAGGCGCAGAGTGCTGTTACCGCTGCACTGAGCAAGCGGGCTTCAAAAAAATGAGAAACCTTAATAATAGTGATGTAAAAAACCTACAGGTGACTTTTTTTTTCCAGAGTAACATCTGGCTTTTCAAACAGCCTTGCTGAATTTTAATCTGCAGTGACTTCTGTTGATGTTATCTGCTGATCGACTCAAAGTGTGGCTTTGTACACTTCTTGCACAAGAAGAATTAGAAGAGGAAGGCCAGAGCACACTGTCCCCCAGCCTGGCCTGCCCGTGCCCTCAAGTTACCTTCTCGTGAATCTCCTGAGTTGATTGTGCGTCACAGAATGCAACCGTCGCCAAGTCCTTCAAAATGGGCATCTCCACTGTACAGTCCCTCCCGTCCAGCAGTGCCACCAGGGGCCGGGGGTGCATGGGGCCGTTCATGATTTGAGGGCGAATACCTGCAAGCAGAAGGAGCGTGGATTTTACACCAGTGGCAGCAGGAAGGTCCCTCCAGCAGTGGCGGTACCTGCGTGTGGTTCCTGTTTTGGGTGAGGGAGAGCGACACATGGTTTCAGCTTGCATAACAAATTTTGGAGGACCATGGCAATGCAATGTGAAGTTTAGCACAAGGTCCAGTTTTCCTTCTGGGAGTACGGCTGCGTTTTTTCCCCGGCTGGAGAGAAAACGCAGTAAGGCTTGCTCCCAGGACAGGGATGGACAACCCTGCTTCAGCCACCTGTGACTTTATGGGGACATACCTCTGCTGTGCCGATCCTCACCGACACAGGCCACGTTTCAGGCAAACCACATAAGCCAGAGCCAACGGCCTCTTCAATTGTTTTATTTAGCATCTTAGGAGCAAACACCAAGCCAGCAGTAATTTTTTCCCCTGCCTGCAGGAGGGCTGGGATTTCATTCCACAGATGTAGGCTGGCACTTGGTCTTTTTTTTTAAGGAACGACTTTACCATTTTGACCACCTCAGAAAGTCCAAACAGACATCCACTAAAAAAAAAAAGGATTACCGGAATATCACAGAAAGAGCAGGACCCTGAAGACCTCTTTAGCATGTAGGCCTATATTCTGTTATGTTACCAATTACCAAAAGGCTTCAAGGTGGGAACAGTGAAGCTCAGCTTACTTTGTTACTGGTCTATCCCTGGATCCCGCAGGACGCTCTGGGATGTGTGGCTGGAGCCAGAGTGAAGGACCTGCATATACAGGATGAAACGGCTGCAGCGAGCACACTCGTGCCAGTGGAAGACACTGCTCTTAGGCTTATACACACCTCGCCACGGGCTGCTCCCTTGAAAACACTTGTATTCAGGGGGCTGTTCAGTTGTGCGGCTTTTTTTTCATTTCACAACAACATGGCTCGCAACATTGGCTCAAGCACAACAACCTCAGCTCCAGGCTGAGGTGAGGAAAGGAACGATCACCACCAAGGGCCAGAGAAGCCCGATTTTATATCCTATTTATTGCTCTGCTGGGGATTAACCGGTTCATTTTTGGACAAGTCACTTAGAAATTTCTGCGCCTCCCTTTACCACTCAGTAAGGGCATTTATTACATTATTTATTGTATTTCGGCTACCCAGGCAGGTTCTGGGAAGAACGGAGGCGGGGGACAA